ATGTGGTAAGGAATTGTTAACATATATATGGAAGAAATTGAAAAAGGTATTTGTATGAATACCGGTCATTATTGATGTCCAATCTTGTAATTGCAAAATTGTACTAGCGGTGTTGACAAGTTTATACAATATTCTCATCTTAATATATTGAGTGTATTTCTTTTGTAATGTTGTATATTAAATTCTTAATATTTATTAAAAAGTATCATATATTCAGATTTGTTATGATAAAGTTGTTAGGTGTTTTCGAGTATCACGAGATCAAGGTGGTATAAATTTTATGAATATTATCAGATAGGTAATTGCGTGATTATATATTGAAATCTAAGAAATGAAATACTGTAATTTACGCAAATCGCAACAGGTCTTAGAAGTTTTATAATGCTGGAAAGATTTTCATCCGGGCAATATATTATTGGAATTTGTCAAACTGCAAAAAAAAGCAAATAACAACTAGAAAACGAAAGTGTGGTGCTCCAGAAGCTTTACTTTGTAGACCATATATCATAGCAGCAGATATTTGTTCCTTTGAATGATGGAAAATGAACTATTTTTCGATAATTCAAAATGATGAATAATCATATCATAATTTAGCTATCGGGATATATAATAGAGCTGGAACTAGACCAATTTCCTTGGTAATTTTATTTTAAATTTTATGGATGTCAATCCAGAAAAGACCAAATACAAAAGTAATGCAGTAGAATCCTACTACGATAAAGTTCAATTCTCAATAAAAGAAAGTGGTGAAAAAATTAAGGGTATCAGATTAAGTTAAGAGAAGTCCATCTACAAACTGTTTATATTAGAAGATAATTATATTATGATAATCTTCCGAGCCAACCAATTTTGTAATTTACGTAATTGAAGTCCATAAGGCCTTTATGTGTACTTACGTAATTATCATTTATTAACATCTAAACTTTCTTTTAGAATACATAACACATAGATTTATATTATATATAAGGTACAATAATTATTTGAATTCGTGACGTGGTAAATCTTTAATTATAACAAAATGTATGAAAATTTTAAAATAATACCGTTTTGTATTACCGAGCTGATGATTCATTCTTATTACCTTTTGTGTCACTAATTTTTCAAGGTTTTAAACATTCCTTATACTTCGTCCCTTCATATAAACGGTCAAGATTAAATTGAGCGTCGGCATGTCCATTTCTGCTGCCATTTGATACTAATAAACCAAGATTATATTGTGCAGCAGCATATCCATTTTCTGCAGCTTTTTGATACCAATAAATGGCATTTTCTATATTTCTTTCCGTTCCTACACCTTTTTCATATAAATAACCAAGATTATATTGTGCAACAGTATATCCATTTTCCGCTATTTTCTGATACCAAAAAAAGGCTTTTTCTAAATTCTTTTCTGTTCCTTCGCCATTGTAATATGAATATGCGAGGTTAACTTGTGCATCAACACATCCATTTTCTGCAGCTTTTTGATACCAATAAAAGGCTTTTTCTAAATTTTTTTCCATTCCTTCTCCTTTATAATATAAATTTGCAAGTGTATATTGTGCGTCAACATATCCATTTTCTGCTGCTTTTTGATACCAATATATTGCTTTTTTAAAATTCTTTTCTGTTCCTTTACCATTTTCATAAAATATAGCTAAATAATTCATTGCATTATTAATTCCGTTTTTTGCTGCTTTTTGATACCAGTAAAAGGCATTTTTTAAATTTTTTTTTGTTCCTTCTCCATTATAATAAGAATTTGCAAGATTATATTGCGCAGCAGCACATCCATTTTCTGCTGCTTTTTGATACCAATAAAAGGCTTTTTCTAAACTTTTTTCTGTTCCTTCACCTTTATAAAACAATTTTGCAATATAATATTGTGCTTTAACATATTCATTTTCTGCTGCTTTTTTATACCAATAAAAGGCTTTTTCTAAATCTTTTTTCTGTTCCTTCACCTTTATAAAACAATTTTGCAATATAATATTGTGCTTTAACATATTCATTTTCTGCTGCTTTTTTATACCAATAGAAAGCATCTTCTAAATTTTTCATTGTTTTAAATAAATGGCCAAGGTTATATTGTGCTTCAACATGTTCATTTTCTGCTGCTTTTTGATACCAAAATATTGCCCTTTCAAAATTCTTTTCTGTTCCTCTACCCATTTCAAAATATATAGCTAAATTATTCATTGCATTATCAAATCCATTTTCTGCTGCTTTTTGATACCAATAAAATGCTTTTTCTAAATTTTTTTCTATTCCAATACCTTTATCATATAAATTTGCAAAATTATATTGTGCAGCATTATATCCATTTTCTGCTGCTTTTTGATACCAATAAAAGGAATTTTCTAAATTCTTTACTGTTCCTTTACCATTTTCATAGCATATTGCTAAATTATTCATTGCATTATCAAATCCATTTTCTGCTGCTTTTTGATACCAATAAAATGCCATTTTTAAACTTTTTTCTGTTCCTTCACCATTTTCATAACATGTAGCTAAATTATTTATTGCAATATCCAATCCATTTTTTGCTGCTTTTTGATAATAATAAAATGCTTTTTCTAAATTCTTTTCTATTTCCTCACCTTTATAATATGAATGTATTAAATTATATTGTGTAATAACATATCCATTTTCTACTGCTTTTTGATACCAATAATTTGCTTTTTCTAAATTCTTTTCAGCATTTTCATCTTTATCATACATTATTCCAGCTGCTATATTATATAATTCAAATGCCATTTCTTTATTAAGTTCGATTCCAAATCCTATATCATAACAATTTCCAAGCTCAAATTGTGCATTTTTATATCCTTGTTCAGCTGACTTTTTGAAATATTCAAATGCTTTTATTTCATTTTTTTTTACACCTTTACCATTTTTGTAACATAAACCTAAATTATATTGTGCAATTTTATTTTCACTTTCTGCTGCTTTTTGAAAATAATAAAATGCTTTTATATAATTTTGTTTTATTCCAATTCTATTGTAATACTCAATACCAATTCGTCTTAATCCTTCAAAATATGCTATTTTATAAAGTTTAGCATTTTTACTTTTATTTTGTTTAAGACTTAATTTTTTATTATAATTGTGTTCAAGAATATGTTGTGCAATAATATGTCTATTATAAGTTGCTTTTTCATACCAATAATAAGCTTTTTCTTCATCTAATTGTATTCCAATTCCATTATAAAAACAATTTCCAAGTTGATATTGAGCATCTGCAATATTTTGATTGGCCAAGTTTTCATAATATTTAAATGCTTTCATATTATCTTTTATAATTCCTTTTCCTAACCTATAACAGTTTGCAAGACGAAGTTTTGCAATTGTATTTCCATTATTAGTTGCTTTTTGATACCAATATACTGATTTCTTTATATCTTGTTGAGTTCCTATACCAAATTCATAGCAATGTCCTAAATAAAATTGCCCAATAATGCTACCATTGTTTACAGATTTCTGATACCAATTAAATGATAACATTTCATTAAATTCGACTCCGTAGCCATGATAATAACATTTAGCAAGATAAACTTGTGAAATTGAATGATTATACTTGGAAGCATTTAAGAATAATTCAAATGTTTTGACACTATTTTCATTTACACCAATATTGTGATAATAAAATAATCCAAGCAACCAAATATATTGTTTTGTATTTTGATTTTTTTTAAGCCATTTTAAAAGGTAATTTCCAGTTTGGTAAAATTGTAATATTTGTTTTTCAATAAGATGTTTAATTTGATCGAATGCAATACCTTCATCATGTTTCTCAGTTATATATTTAATTAATTTGTTAATAGTTTGATCATTTATAAAAATCGACTCAAAGGAATGTATTGATGGATTTGATGAATTATTTTCTGTATTCAGAATATTTGATTTAAGAGACTTTTGACTATTTAAACTTAAGCAGCTTTCAGATTTAACGATATTTATTGAATTAATATTTGAATCAATTACTAAATCTTTATTAATATCAAGAGTATCTTTGCTTGACTCAATACTGAATTCATCTTCACTTGATAATGTTTTTTCTTCTTTTTCGATAACAATTACATCGAGCGAAATGATTGATTTAAGATTTGAAATGACACGTTGCATATCTGGACGCTCATCTGACTCATATTTCCAACATTCTATTTAAGCAAAGCAAATGACATTAGGATTTATTATTTAATAAATAAAATCAATAAATTTTATTTACCTTGATATATATTACTATATTCAGTAGGAGTTCCATCAATAATTTCTTCTCTTTTTCCATTTATTATATCCAAAACTAATCTAATATCGTAATCAACACTTTCAATAAAAAATGGCTGACGTCCGCTTGAAATTTGCCACATCAAAACTCCAAAACTATAGACATCAGATTTTTTATTTAATCTGTAATTTTGATTCTGTTCATTTAAACCCTTTGGATCTACATAAGGTAAGATACCAAATATTTTTAATGAATTACTCGATTCTTTGGCAATTTTCTTTGATAAACCAAAGTCTGCCAATTTAATCGATTTCTGATGTATGAGTATATTTTTTGCATGCTATAATCAAAGAAAATTCAATATTAAAAATTTTAAAAATAAGAAAAACAAATCTTCAAAGTATTTATTACCAGATCGCGATGAACAATGCCACGTTCATGCATACATTCTAAAGCACCAGCCAGTTGCAAAGCTAGCTGATATTTATCATTCCAATCAAGGTCATTAAAATGGTTATTTAAATAATCATATAGTGTGCCACTATCAGCATATTCCAAAACTAATGAATATTTTTTTATTTCACCTGTATAAAAAAAAAAAAAAAAAAAAAAAAAAAAAAAAATAAGTAAATAAAATAAAATAAATATTTATTTATAAAAAGGTTTAACATTATATTTAATACAAACCAATTTTTTCATTTGTGATACCATAAAATCGTAAAATATTTGGATGAATGTCAACGCTCTTATGTAATTTTATCTATAAAACAATAAATCTAAATTAACTTTATATTTACTGATAAACATTTTAAATAATTACAATAAGTTTACCTCATTTACAACTTCTTTAATAGAAACGCTATCATTTTTAAAAGATTTCAAAGCGAAAAAACGATCAGTATTTTTCCATTTTGCGCTTATAACGTTTCCAAATGAACCTTCCCCTATTAACTTTAAATTTTTGAATTCGGAATATTCGTAATTATTGAGATTTTCATCGGCAATTGATTTTTCTAACCAGTCTAACGATTCTTTAATGGCCAACATTTTTTTTTTCATTAAAAAGGTAGAGATTGGCTATTTTTCTTTTTATGTATGTAACTCTGATCGGCAAAAATTAATGTTTTACGACATTTTTATGTTCACACTATTTACCTGATTAGGTATTTGTAACATTACTGTGCCTTTCTGCGCCTTGTTCGTGAGAAAAATTCTTTTAGAACGCATTCTTATAATTATTTTGATTTATGATAAATTTTGTTCATTTATACAAAATTTGGGTGAATTTGTCAAAACAAATTTTTTTTTACACATGGACTTTATTTAGATTTACAAAATATCACTTCATTTAACATATTTTGTTAATTTTAATTGAACCATTGCAAACCATCTATCAAGTTATTGTAAAGTTAAAGATTTATAATTACACTGCCACATATGAAAAATTATACTTTGGCAGTGTAGTAATTTGCAACAGCAATGCATTGATTGATGGATTTTGCCGCTTCGTGGCAAAATATCAAATCATGCATTGCTTACCGTGAACTTTGGAGTAATATCTGATAAATCGTTATTATAAATAAGTTGATAAGAGAATAATGCAAAAAAATTAGTTAATAAGCTGCTACTTAATCAAATTCAGAATAGTTTTTCAATAAAAAGGACTAAAAAAATATAAAATAAAAATGTCTATGTGAATTTAACCCAAGTAAAAGGGTTTAGTGCTAATTATTAATCATTTTTTATGTTTGATGTACACTCCCTGAAAAAAATGATTAGAAACTCAAGAATTGAAATAAAAATTGAAATATTCAACTAATAAATTTTTTATTTTTAATAAAATCGACTTTGATGCTCTAAGTAAAATTTGTGTTGGAAGAGTAGTACTGGTTATGAGGAATCAGCTTTAAGCTCATTATATTTATTTTCCAGCAGGTTTTTCGTATCATTACAAATTTCTTCACCATCAACAAAATCAAGAGACTTATCCTAGGATCAAGTAATGCTGAAATAAGAGTTTTACTCTCCTCTTTAGACCATTTCATTGCATTATACAAATTAAGCTTTACTTTTTCTAACATTTTAATTGGTTAAGAATTAGCTTTCTTCCTGGCGTTTGATATGATATTTTCCTCATTTCAGCTCTATATATCGTTAGATATTAGTTTTCATTTGTAGAATTTTAAGTCGATATGCAAAATTTTAATACTACTATAAAAAACCTCTGGCCGATTAACACCATAGACCATTAAATATCTTTATTACGTTCGTAAAATTGCGAATATAAGTGACGGTAAGCAAGCAAATGTATGAAAACACATCAGTTTATTTTTTCCATTTTGAAATTTGGTGGATAAAATAAGCAACTATACAGGTTATTCATAAGTTTTAATCTATTTAAAAGTTGGACATCATTATTCAAGTATCACAAAACTAATAAATTTATCACGTGGTACGATAAAAAAAAAGAAAAGATTTCTCACTCCTTACACTTGTGTTCATGAACGATTTTATTTCAAATCGAAAACATTTTTATAAAAACATGGAAAGCAAGCCTATTTTCTATTCTTCTTTTGTGTGTAAAACTAATGTCAATGATTTATAATTCTGGCAATTCACCAATTAAAAAGACTGATGGTGTAATTTCAACGAGTTCTATGGAAGCGAAAACTTTATTAATGAATTCACAATTACTTCAAACAGAATGACTCTCATCACTGAAGGGTTTAATATAATAAGAAAACCATATATTCTGAACCTACCATAACTTATGTCAAAATGTTTGATATTTTTGTTGTTAAAGTTTGTATATTTGTATCTACTTGTAAGAAGATCTTAAAAAAACTTATTTTTAAAGTGAGATTTCGCGTAAATGTAAAAAAAAAAAAGTAATCGTCTAAAAGGAAAATCAATTAGAATTGATTGAGCACATGATGATCTATCAATTTCTTAAATAATATGATCGGTAACATTTTGCGATAGTTAACTATAGAGTAAAGTAACTCAATTATAGTTACATGAAATTTTTTTAATATGAAAATGATCTGCATGCGACATGTCCGGCGCTTGATATTTTTTAACGAAATAAAATGAATCGACAAAGATTAGCGAAATCAATAAAAATATATTTTATTTAAAATATGATGGTTAAATTTAACACAATACAAAAGTGCCACAGGAAAGCTTAAATCTCAAATTTATTCTAATGATATCATATCATAATAGCATAGCTATAGCTGCAGCTGTAGCTATATAAACTTCAAATTCAATGTTCACGCAATGCATTACCAAAATCAATCAAAATATATAGAGATTGCTGAAGATCTGTACAACTAAAGAACAAATTAAGCGAAAAAGTGAATAAATGCAGAAACGATCATCAAAAATTCATAACTTCAAAAGTATACCTTCGCCAAAAAAAAAAATTGCATATCGTGATTGGTTAGTCTGAAGTTGAAATCTCAATTTCAGACACCCGAAAAACATCTGAATTCCAACTTTAGTCAGATACAATACCAATTTTTTTTTATTAAATCTGTTCTTAAATGATTATTTAAATGAGATAATTGTGTATTAAATAGTGAGGTAATAATCAAACGTCAGGTTTGAACTTTCCAATAGTTGTCCTTGTTTCTTGCATTAAAAGACTTACGACCCATTTTTTATTTTTTGGAGCATTTTCAAGGGTTAAATAAAGTAATTCTACAAAATTTAAAAGTCTAAAAACTTGAATGACGTAACTTAACTTATAACCGGACACGTGATTTTTCTTTAAACCTGATATTATTCTATTCGATATATTTATGAAGAAAATTTTGTTTATTTTTCTTACAAAAATTAGAAATCCTTACTAATTGTATCCGTAGAGAAAGAAGTATTTCATCCTTTTGGCGATAGAGGAATTCTAGCCGGACTAGTATTTACATTGAATTTCGTGTAGTGTGTGCAACCAATAGCTCACAGGTCAAGTAGTTTATTACAAGGATATATAACCTCTTTTTGATCTTTGTATCCTATAGTTGTGACTTAATACGATTTTTTGTGTAGTTGGTTATTAGTGAAGTCTATGGAGACACGATAAAGGTTGAAAGTGTGAAGATGGAATTGTATTATTTCAAGATTTCGGACGTCTCTTGTCTATCTTTTCTTTGGACGAAGCGGATTTTCGGGGTTTACTGACCTAGTTTTTCATTTAGCTCCTCGACTATCCTTTTGCCTGCCTCGAAGACCAAGCAAAAAAGACAACGTCTTTGGTAACAACGGCGACAACACAAAATCACCTGGAAGATAAAAAAATTTTTTTCTTCTTTCTTTTTAATCATGGTATGTATAAATCGTTTCTTATTATTATGTTTCGTAAAGCGGAAAAGGCTGTTTTAACATGAAAATTTTACATGCATATCCCCAAAATATTTAAATTTCATGCTCATGCTGCTTTGGAACGTTGCTGTAATTATTAAAGTAACATGATACCAACATTGCCGATTAATTTAAATGAAACTTTTACATTTTTCTATTATACGTTCTCTTAACAATATTTGTTGGATTTTCTTTCAGTCGTATTAATCTTATTAATTTACTTTTTATGAATTAAAACAAAAAGTAATATGGGAACGTTGCCGGTAAAATCAAGTCATGAGATATAGTAAATCACATGATCCGTAATGTGATATTACTGGCAACTCTCCCATATCTTCATTACTGAGTTTACGATTTACTGTATATAAGATGTTCTGCCGACATTTCTAAAATAATCAATTAAAATACATACATAAATTATTTTCGTTATTGCTTTTTTATTTTATTTGTGAAATTACTTTTCATGTAATATGTCAAATTATGAATTAATCATTTTTATGTCCAAAAAAAAAAAAAATAAATAAATAAAAATAAATAGTGTAGATAAATTTACATTGAAATTGTATTGTTAATGGAATAATTAAATGTCCAGAATATGTACACCCAAACTTAAAATGTCAACAATTGTTTATTGCGTCATGCAATAGTATTATGCATCACGAAAATTTTAATGGTTGTATTTAGCATTAAATATATACAGTATATATTTATATATATATTTGGATATATAAAAGTTTGTGCTTAATTTGTTTCGATGATTTACCGTAATTTTGTAATCTTTTAAAAATCACTTCAAAACACCGATTTGCAAGGGAAATATGCAACATGAACTTTTATGGTAAGATTCCTCGGATTAAAAAACTAAACCAACTATTCTGATTGCGCACATGAGGTCAAAAAAAATTTTCCTCTCTCTTAACAAAATTTTTTTTTAAAAAAAATAAATAAACAAAAATACTTGAGTATGTATATAAAGGTTAAAAAATACGTTTTAATAAGACTCATCTGCTAAGCAATTTTTTATAATTTTTATTTTAGATGGATAATGATACAGAAATATGGACTCGAGGAGAAGTATTCGAAGAGACATTGGAGCAGCTTAATGAACTGTTTCGGACAGAACGTAATATTGTTATTGAAAATAGACTATACTACATATTTCTATGTGGAATGTTACTTCTCTTTATAATTTTTATTGGAAAAAACCTAAACCAAAAACAAAATTAGGTTAATTACAAAAAAAAAAAAAAAAATGAAAATTGTTTCGAAAATAATGCAATTTTGATTGTTTCTTCATTGCCATGTAACAGTTCCAAAAATCCACCACTTCTGCTCTATAAACTAGCTATACATAATTTTATACTATATACATGGTAGACAAGTTAACATGTAACTAATAAAAATGCTATTAATAATTACTTTTCTTTACTAAATTATCAGAAAAATATATAAAATAAAAAAATAAACTTTTTTTTCACATTATAATCTAAAATTAAACAAAAAATATTGGGTTTAAATTCATTTCGCAAAATTTAAAATATGCTATTTAATAATCCAAATAGTTAAATTTAATAAAAAAAATATATATATATTTTTACATTTAAACTCTAAATAGTATTTGAAATTTTTTCAGTTAGAATATTTATATTAATCTAAAAATTTTTAAATAAAAAATTTTTTTTCATCTT